AGTAAACAAGAAAACTTATCTATCCCGTTGGCTTTGCTCCAGCGCGACCTACGCGCTTATCTATACCTACTATTAAAAGGAATAGATATTCTTGGTTTGGTTTAGTCCTTTACGTTTGGTTTACACACGTTAAGTGATCTGAGCCAGTTGCTTGTATATTGATGGGTCTTTTGTGGGCTTTCATAGAGAGACCGCGAAAAATAATTGGTTCAAAATAAATCAACATTGTGAGAATTGAACACAAGACCTCTTGTCTATCTCTTAGATGTAACAACAAAGACTTATGCACCTTTCATATTTACTAATCCCAACTCACTCTAAATATCCGAGTGGCAGTCATCATGTTTATTTATTTATTTTGCGAGAAAAGGAGTTGATATTAAAACGGCCAAATTACTGAAAGGTCCACACAGAAAAGGAAATTACAACCAAGCCCCTCTGCAACCCGACTACGCCGACGCCGTGGACGAGCCGGTGACGCGTCGTTCGCCGCTGCTCGCTGACGCCTTGGATCGAAGCAGCCCCCGTGCAAAACGGGAAGTCTCCGATCAACGGTCCCTGAGGGCCTACACCCATGGCCGCCGTCGTCGTCGCACCGCTCAACATCGCCTTCCTTCTCCAGATCTTCAACCGCCGGAATCGCCATCCCTCGATCTCCGGCACGGGGGAACCGTGCACGGCCTCTCCATCGAGCAGCGAGCACGAAGAAAGGAGCTGGTTCACCGGAATTTCGCCGTCGAAGGGGAGACCAACAACTGCAAAAAGCCGATCAAGTCGCACTGCCGCCTCCACGACGCCACCGGCTGGCTCCCTAGGCACTCCTACACTATGTACACGCTGCAAATCGGGTCTCCCCAGTCCTCCCGCCGCCGGAGCGTCCGGCGGAGGGCGAGGGAGCCGCCGATTCGGCAACGGCGAGGTGGAGAGCCCGGGGTTCGCACAAATCGCCCTTCGTTCCTGTAGATGGGGAAGGGTGATGGGGAAGGGTGAGGTCCAAGGCTCATGTTTAGGGAGAGCTAATTAAGCGAGTGAGCTAATAAAGGAAGGATTGTGGGCTTAAATATAATACTTAAACAAATGTGGCTAATTAAAAAAAGGATTATGGGTAAATTGGTGGAATAACTATTAGAAAGATTGTGGTCTTAATAAATTCTATATGAAGGATCTATAGGCCTTAATGTGTTGGGGCTATTAAATTAGAAAAGGAAGGATTTGATTTCCGACTAAAACAGGTGAGGACTTCATGGTAATTATGAAAGGATCATATTTAAATGTCATTAAAAAAGATTGTATTTAAATGAAATCAGTGGGACATTACACCCCATAAAGAAAATATGAACACGACTAAATTGCGACGTATTTTTTTAGGGCAGTACTCTGCGCCGGCGCACCGGCGGAACGTTTCAGCCGGTCAAACCAGAGCCGCTCGATCTGGACGCGCGTAACCGTCAGATCTGCCCCGCATCTCCTATCGCCATCCTCCCCACGGGAAAAAAGAGGAGAAACAAAAAAGCAAGCGCCGCCGCCGCTCGCGGGATCCCGCACGCTGGCATGTGCTGCTCTCGCTTGGACCACCACTGCCCCTGCTTGTCGCCGGCGCTCGCAGCCTCACCGCCTCTGGCGAACCAAAACACCACCCGCCTTCACCGCCGACACCGGAGCAAAAAATGACGGTTCCAGCAAAATCAAAAGACGGTGGTAGCAAATTTTTAGGATGGTTCCAACAAAAACAAAGGGTGGTAGCAAAAACTCCTGATGCTTCCAGAAAGACTCTGGCAGTAGCAAAAACTCCGGTGGTAGCAAATGGCATCTCCGGTAGTAGCAAAATTTTGAGACGTTTGTAACAAAAAAAAGCCATCGCTGCTGTTGAGCAACACCGCCGTGGGTGGATGTAGCAAAAAATGTCTTCAGTTCCAGCAAAATCAAAATATGGTTGTAGCAAAAAAAGACAGGAAAAACAGAAGATGGATGTAGCAAAAATCGACAAAACACCAATAGTAACAAAAAATCAAAACGGTTGTAGCAAAATGGTTCATCAGTTGCAGCGAAAATCACCTGGTAGCAAAAACTTGGACGGGTGAGTGGTAGCAAAAGCATGGGCCAGTTCTAGCAAAAACAAAACATGATTGTAACAAAAAAAGAAGCAAGTTCCAGCAAAAAATGAAGCTGGTTCCAGCACCCGACATAGTCGGTAGTAGCATCGGAGATCGCTGGTTCCAGCACTTGACGCAACCGGGGTTGCAGCTTGCTGTCGTGCTGGTTCTAGCATCGCTGCAGCCAGTGGTAGCATCCAGGACGCGCAGGTTCCGGCACTGGATGCAGACCGTTGCAGCTTGGGTCGAAGCTGCCGATCGGCGCTGGAGAAGCCCGTCGCAGCTCGGCCACCGGAGGTCCAGCACCTTCCGCTGCCCGTCGCAGCACGGCCCCCGGGGACCCCCAGCTAGCACGGCTTCAGGTGAAAGGAGAGGAGAGGTGGGGAGCGCCCATGGCGAAGGAGGCGGAAGAAGGAGAGGGAGAGGTGGTAGCCCCGAAGGGGATTTCTGGCCGGTGGGAATTTGTAGCGAGAAAAATCTAGAACGGAGGAAGAAGATAAGGAAGAGAAAGGGACAGAGCGGTGCGGGGCTTCACTAGATGCGTGGATTTGTTTTTATCTCACGAGGCGTGCGTGACCGGTCGAATCTTCGGCCGGCGCGCCGTCTAGAAACGTTTACCATTTTTTATGTTCATTTTGTAGAAGGACGATGATGTGTTGCAACATGTTCTTCATAATGAATTCGATATTGTGGGATATTATGTTTGTGCAAAACATTAATTTTTCCCGTTGCAAGGCACGGGCATATGTGCTAGTAGGACTTAGAGCATCTCCAGCCGTTCGGCCCCCAGGGCGCTAAAAAAGGGCGGTCTGAGAGCGAACCGACGCTAGTTCGGCCTCTGGGGGCGACCTAGCTCCCAGTCACGCCCCTAGGCGCCGCCTCCAGGACGCGAAAAATTCGAACTTGGTCGTTCCCGCTCACAAAAGGCGCCACAAGTCGGGCGATCGCAAGCCACAGTTCGGCATACAAAAAAATAGAGCGACAGAAGTTCGCGTGCGCATCACTCAGCGGGCTCTGCCCCAGGCGTCGGCGGAGTTGGCGTGCGTGGGCTTGGCGGTGTCGGAGCAGCCTTTGCGCTGGGCGGCGTCGGCGCGACTTCGGTGGTGCTGGGCGTCGTGGAGGCGTCGTCACGTGGGCTTGGCGGCGGCGTCGGCGTGTGCGTCGGCATCAGCGTCGGCGGCCTTCTTGAGGGGAGCTGGTTCAGGATGAGGCCACGCACCGCCAAGTACCACGTCTTGACCGCCTCGTCGGTGCTCTGGAGCATGTCCGCCCCGCCCAGCAGGAAAGCCAGGTCGGTGTTTCTCTTCTTCGCGGCGACGTTCGTCTGGAGCAGGTCGAGCTTGACGGCGCTACTCGACATCAACGCCGACCACCGCGCCTCGGTCTTCTCTTCAAGAAGGACGGCCCGGGCCTGCGCGTCGGCGAGGCAGTGCTCGATGGACTCCTGCACTCGAGCGGTGGCCGTGTCGGCGTATTTTCCCTTCTTGGCAACTTTGTTGCCGTCCGGCCGCCCTTCTGATGCGCCAGGAGTCGGCGCGTCCGGCTTGTAGGTCTCCTTGGCCTTGTCGAGGGTGCGCCGGACTTTGCCCACTTCTCGCATTTGTCAATGCGCTTGTAGACGTGGAGGTACTTGAATTCGGCGCCTTGCTGACCCAGGGCGTGGCTTTCGGGTGGATTCGCCATCCCCGCGTGAGCCGCTTCGGCCTCGATTTGGTCCGCCGAGGCAGCCGCAGCCGCGCGCGCCGCGTTGTCGCGGGCCTTCTTGGCGATGACCCTGTTCCGCCGGTCGGCGGTGACAGCCTCGCGCCGCTGAACTTTCGCCCTCCACTCGGCATTTGTCATGCCCGGTGGCTTGGTCGGCGGCGCCCTCAGCTTCCTCTGCTTCGGCTGGGCGACGGAGGCGGTCGCGGTTGCCACGCGCGAGGGGCGACGTACTTCTTCGGTGGCATGGCGGCCGGCTGGGAGGGAGGCGAGCGGGAGGGAGTTTGGCGGGAGGAAGAAAGAGTACATGAGGGAAGTGGGGAAAACGCGGGAAGAAACGGCGGGAACAGGCGCTCGCCTGTCGTGCGGCTGGAGATGCTCTCATGGACTTATATGGACCTATGCGATGTTTGGCCAACCGGATCGCGTGGTTTTTCTTTGGATCCTCCGCCGGCCGTTGACGCGGTGAGCGTTGAAGCGTCCAAGTCCAACCCAGTCTAGTCTAGGTGAGCGGCGCTGCCCCTACCTCAACTGCTCCCAGCTCTGCCATTAAACGCACACATACGCGATTGGAGAGGAGATCGATCCCCTCCTCCTTCCGTATCTGCATCAGCCGCTGTTCCACGAGCTTCAGCCATGTCCCACGACGATCCCCCGCCGG